ATATATATATATGCCATATCAAAAATATAGTTTAAATTAAAATATTAATATATATATATATATATATATATATATATATATATATATATATATATATATATATATATATATATATATATATATATATATATATAATAAATTATATATATATATATATATATAAATCTATCACTGAGGCAACTTTCTCTGGAGCCCAACATTTATATAAATCATTCAATGATACATCAGAGCTCATATAACAACTTTTTCATGATTACGTTTCGGGGCAAGCCCCTTCTTCAGATTACATGTGTACACGCGATTTCAACCATTTAAACTGTCCATATCCTAATTATAATAATTCGCTTGATTAACTCTATTGTTCAAACAAAGTCTTTTACATTCAACCCATGCGGTTCAAACGAATTCAGTTTATAAGCCCAAAAACCTTGTCTTTGTGTGGGACATGCAACATTAGTTTTATCAATAATTTTAACTTTCACATCTTGCATACCAATACATATATACACATATATACACATATACTACAAAACTGGACTAAATTTAAATAATTATTAACAAAAGGATGGAACGTGGACAATTACGAGCTAAAGCTGAAAGTTTAGTTCGCGTAAATTTGCCTCTGCTGTGATTTTTAAGTTAAATTACTCGAAAGTTTTGCGGAGTTCTTTTCTCGTTTCAGTTTAGTAGTTAACGAATTCCTGCGCGGATGGCACGCTTTGACGTCTGTGTATGACCATTTTCGTTGAAAGCAACACCTTGGTAACGTTTGTGTGCAGATGTGCGAAAGTATGGGGAAGATCTGTCATTACACCAGTTATTACATTCCTTGAAGCAGCCATCAATATACCCAGAGAAATGGAGGCCTTTATAGAAACCCGTGTCGCAAATTAACATTTGATATTGGTAATCTGCTGATGCAACACCCTGTGCGGTCCACAAGCCAAATACATCGGCCTTCTTATTATAATTACCAGAAAAAGTAACAGCTAGACCACTCTTGTTAAATGCCGCTTTTTCTTTCGTTGCTTCATCGACAAATATCACTCCAGTAAACTGAAATAAAATAGAAATAAGATAAAGTTTGTTTTGTAGGTCACGACTAATGATGATTTGTAACTGGTAGAAAATAAGAAGTATATATAGTAAACTTGCCGGTATGTTGTTACAGTCAGCTCGATAGCCTTGGGCGAGAGTGGTGGTGAGTTCAGTCTTGATATTAACATGACTATCAGTCGTGTAACACATGGTCCAACCTCCACCAAATGACGTCATGTCACAATATACTTCGAATGGATTGCCTTTACTTTCTCCATCTGAGTCTATCAAATATTTTCCGTCGCCTTGACTTAAACCTTTATTTTTGATATCAAGACAGCTAGTGCCTGCAAGAAAGCAGCTTGCATTGTATTCCTGCAAAAAATATATACTTTGTAATTTTCTTCACATGATAACACTTATAACCACCCATTGATAATTTGTGATATCCCAAAAATCAAATTCAATAACTGTTCTATTATATAATCAGGCGCGGATCCGCTAAAAATCTGACTGTAGAAAAATCCTAAAATTAGGAGGCACCATGTATTCTAGAGGGGGTGACGAAACACCATTTCCTGCATTCTGAGCATCGAATTCGGTTCTAAAATTTGACCTTAATAAGGCTATATTTTAGACAAAAAGTTACAAAAACACGTAATAACAGTACAATGTTTAAACGACATCTACATTCTTAATTAATACTGTGTACAAAGTTTAAGACTTGCCTTCCTCCCTACAGTAATATGTAATTTAATATCATACCGCACATGTGTAACATATATAAACACATTTACAATCAATGTATAAAATCGATGGGCAGAACGATATTTCACGGCACAACGCTAAACAGACACATTTATATACTGAAAGAAAGCTTCAGATTAACAGAGATTCAACCACCTAAATATACAAGCCAAATTTCAAGGTTTTGCTTGTATTTTTCAGTTACAGCGTTTTGAATTGTAATTTCGACAAATCACACACAGGTACTTCGCGATCTTTCAGGCGATCGGCCTTACTTTGCTCCAGATGGCATCTTCCCTTAGCGATTTAGTCGACTTAGCTTTTCGTCGAACGAAATTGGCTCGTTAAAAGCGCAAACAGATATAGCCAAATATCATCGCTCTAAAGTTCCTATCGAATTGCGCAACTAAAGCTGACTGTAGCTGACTGTAGCGCATTGCAGCACTGTGATTGGTTTGCTTCATCTGACTGTAGCAAAAATGCTAAATTTAGTAACCGGTCCCCCCTCTGACTGTAGCATTTTGACGTCAAACCTCCAGTTGACTGTAGCATTTTGACGTCACAAATCGCTATATTTAGACCACTTTTCTGAACGCTTTTTGAACGATGTTTAAAAAATTTAGGTGATTTCCCCTAAACGCGGGCGTTGTTTCGGGTAAACATCAGGTTAAGATAAGAGCGTAAAAACGTAAATTTATATTCGTAGCTCACAAAATACATACGCACATCTGGTCGAAGCTGCGAAAGTTAATTTTTTTTAAGATAGAGAAACTAGAAAACTTCTATAAAGAATTTTTACTATCACTACATTCAGTATTAAAAATATTTTTGCAGGGAAATCTGACTGTAGCATTTGCTAAAGTTGCTCCAATCTGGATCCGCCCCTGATAATGCATTTTTATAACACTTTGGACAAAGAAAGTTGTTGCGCAAAACCGTTTGGTTTTCAAAAAAAGGAGTGAAAGCGATTTAAAGTATAGCCGGCCAAAAAAAAGGAGTGAGAGCGATTTAAAATATAACCGATAAAAGTGTCAAAAATCTCAGTTACATATATTTGCGATATAAATGTCAAAAAGGCCTGCTTTTTCCACCAAAAACATTAACTTAAATGCCTTCGTTAAATCAAAGTCGTTTTATCTTGTTTCTGTTCGTGTATAAACTGCCGCATATACCATAAAATCATATCCCGCATTTGGAAGTTAAAACCATTCCTCCTCTACAGTCAATTCATACCTTTTGTGGGTCAACCAGATAAACATAATCGTAGAAAGAGTTTCTCTCCAATACTTTCTCAGATGTATTGTAGACTACGTCATGTAATATTTCACAATTTGGTTCATTCTGAAAGACCTTTTTGTAGTTGATTGACCGACAACATGGCTGCTGGACACATTCTATTACGCAATCTATCCATTGGGAAACGCCTTTTGCCATCAAAACGGTTGTATTAAGTCTGAAACCTGGCGAACATAATGAATATCAGTTAGTAAATTACAGAAGTGGCAGGCTATAATTTAGGGGTCGTGTGTTAGTCAAGACTTTGAAGGGCCACGCTTTTTTATCGGAGGGGAGAAGAGCTTGTCAAAGAAAAATGAAACATTGTTACACCTGTTTGGGAATATAAATTTATATTGAATCGCAAAAATTTTGTCAAATATGAAAGCTAGGCAGTGGCGGCGCCAGGCCTCCAAATTTGGGGGGGGGCATTTGAGGGGCAAACTTAAATTTGGGGGGGGCAAGATAGAATTTTTGAAAAGGTCGCCCCCCCAGGAGATTCGCCCCCCCCCCCTCAAAACGTGGCGATATCGCCTCCCAGAGGGGTGGGGCGAATACCCTAGGAATATCGCCCCTCTTTAGGACATTCGCCCCTCATATATGCGATGTGGTTTATTCAAATAATTTCGTGATACTTTCATCTTATTAATGCCTTACACGTTTGAGAATTTAACTCTGCAAAACTAAAGCTTTTTTGTCTTTTTTGGAACGTATTATTGGAGTATTGGCAAGTTTTACCATTCAGAGATTTACAATCTAATATTGAAACTGTAAAAAACAGTTTCATGTATACGCGCATTCACTAATGAGTAATGACAACTTATAAGCCATACATTTTCCGATAACTACAAAACGCTTGTGTAGCCTTTAGTCGCTATTAGTGACTAATAATTTTTTTGAGGGGGGGGGCAAAATGGGGGGGGGGCAAAAAATAAGTGTTAAATGTTAAGTGAAAAATGATCTAAGTTGTTAAAATGTGAAATAAGTGTTAAATGTTAAGTAAAAAATGATCATAAGTCCATCCAGCTTCTCGCTTGAAATGTAACGCAACACTCATTATTGATGACTTTCAGTATAGCAGGAAGTCTTGTCATGATCGGTACGAATTTAGAACAGTTCCTTTAAATTCACAATCTCTTGTTGCAAATTACATTTTTATCACCTGAAATTATAACACATAAAGTTGCAATTTTCCAAACGCAACAAACACACTCCTCTACTACCCCTCCCTGAGATCAAATTCAATTTACCCCCAAAATCTGGGGGTTTACGTGAAGCTCCGACCAGGGTTTTTCCTCCACAAGAGGAAAGAGCCTGGGAACGAGGTTGTTTGTTAAATACCATTGGTTAGTAGCTACAGTAGTATCAGGTAGCCTAATGGTCGATTTTTCTACACAATTTTTGCTCAAAACTGTCACATGTGACCCGCTTACAACTTGAGTTGTACCGCCTAAAGCTACGTTTTCACGCTGCGATTAATCGTGTACGATTCGTTTTCTGGCGTATGTCATTGAGCAAACACGCGTAAGCTGGCTACATTTGAAATTTCTTTATAACGAAACGTAACGGCAATGAATTATGCCGCCAGCACTCGTTTTAATACGCCAGAATAAGAATCGTACATGACAAATCCACAGAGTAGAGACAGACAGAGACGTAACTAGTGTACGCACCTTTTTTGTGCGCATGCTCGGCAAGTTACTAGATGCATGCATCCGATTGGATGACGACCTGATGACGACTAACTTTAAACTTGCTGAGCCCGCGCAGTTGATCATTTTTCGCCCGGTCACCTGAAAAAAAGTTGGTACATGACAACGTAATCTTCCGCAGTGTTTACGACGGTCAGTTACGTCTCTGTATGTCTCTACTCTGTGACAAATCGTAGCGTGTAAAAGTAGCTTAAATCAAGCACACAACTCACCTACGACAACGTAGGCGTACAACACATGTTGTAAGCAGGTACAACACGGGTTGTAAGCAGGTTAAATGCGACAGCTTTAGGCAAACATTGTGTTGTGTAAAACGGTCTAGATGATACAGTTAACGTGGAGTATAAAGGCTCAAAACCAGATTGATAGAAGGTTGTGCTTAATTAAGTATTCATACGTTTGGATGGATATTACTTTCTCAAAAAGCAATAACAGGTTAGACGGATATAGTCTATAGTTGTTGTGATCCATGTTGCAATCCTCCTTATCCGGTACAAAATAACCCCTTGCAATTTTCCAATGCAGTTGATATAGTGCTTGCACGAAAAGCCAAGTTGATGATATAAGTTAGCTACTCAATTGTCGTTGCTACGCTTTATTTTAAAAGAAGAACTGGAATACTATCAAATCCACTTTACTTGATATTTAATAAAACGTAAGACAATACACTAGGAGACCATCACATTTTTCTATTATTCTTTTTGTATTCTTTTCTAGGTGCAGCTTCTTTCTTTGTGAAAGTGTTCTCCTATTCGTATGACATACAACGTTGTATTGCAGACACAGGTCAAGTACAGTCAAGCGGCAGTTGGGGAAGCTTGTTTTTTCTGACATATTCCTTCAGCTGTCTGGATCCAGCCGCTCAGTTTCGATTTCGCGATAATGGTGCCATGTTAAATCCAAAACGACAGGGATGTATCGCTGCTTTTAATAAGAATGGTTCTGGTTATAATGTTGATAAGTTTTATCTTTACGTTGACTCTGTCAGTTTAGATACAGCTGCTTGTGCTCAGAAGCCTAACGAGAGCATCTATCGTGCTATTACCCAGACCCAGGAGGGAGCATTATCTGTTTATTATAAAGGGAAGGAAAAGAGTTCATTTCAAACCTGGTGTGCAATTACTACCCCACAGTCACGTCTTAAAACGATCATCGTATTGAAGACCAAATGTGCCCACACCCGCTCTATTTCTGGTCAGAGATTTATTTTCGGTAAGTTTGTTTTTAATTAAACATTGTGTTTGTCAAGACTTTGTTGCCGCGCGCATTTTCTGTTAAATAAAATGTTTAAAATTAATACAAAACGACCTTTTCTTTACAATCAATCTCTTTATTTGGCTACCTTCCCTTCTTGAACCAAACATTCTTCAAATTCTTTTCCACAATAATTTACACGAAATTGATTTATGTACTATACACTGTAAAAAGAAT